GATGTGAATGTTTCTGTCGAGCTCCTTGAAGCACGCATTTCCAGATCTTCATCTTGGATGTGTGTGCAATGCACTAATATCATGGCCTGGTTTACTACTAGCATATATAAGGGCCAGCGAATTAATCATACTTCTCAGCTTGATTTATTTTCTTCTGAAAAACACTCAGCTCGATCTGCACGTATATGGATTATAACTAGAGTGTTTACAGCGATCTAGGCAATGATATATGGATTATTTTTTGAAGAGATGTGTACAGTTCTATGCTAACCACTAAAGCTGGTTCTGGTATTGAATAGCAGAGTAGAAAACAGTCCTAACTAATCGCAAAGGCAAGTAAATGGCACCCCAAAGGGTAAAACCGGAAATGCCAACATATAGCAGGAGCAGCAGCAAGCACTAACATGGGATGCTTCTCTGAAGCACAAAAGAGAACAGGTTCAGGTCCAGGGGCTAGGCAAGTGCATATGCAGGGAATTAACCAAGTGATGGAGGAATGTTGCAAGCAATGATTGTCCTAGCAAGCTCCTTTGACACATACATATGTCTCACTAGATTCTGATGCAAAGATTTAGATCTCCACAGGCAAAAGCAGCCGGGAGTAGTAGTAGTGAGAGGAGCAGGGCGGGAAAGGTGAGAAAAAGCTAATTGGAATCATCAGAAGTTGCCAGCTTTCAGAACACTGTGGGCCCAGCTTGGATCAAGGAGAATCATGCACGCATTTGCATATTGCCCAAAGCCCTCCAAAGATGAGGAGATTTCTAAAAGCCTGTAGACTCCATATACTGTAACTTATCTACCAAAAGAATGTCTGTCTTGGACATGGTAGAGAAAGATGGTGGCTGTCTTTATAGGGAAAAGGAGCAGCAACATATGCTGTCCTGCCACACACTTTTAGTTAATCAGCTGGTAATTATCAGTACACCAATCCTAAGTAGAAGAATCCAATGTGCCTACTTGCAGCAACAGCAGAAGCAATCGATTAGATTAACCTCGTTTTCTTCTCAAGACAATATCACCTTGATTTTCAAGATCCTATACCCCAAGTGTGCACCATGTGTACATGTACTGGTTGTCCTCTGTGGTCTACATGCATGTATGACTCAGATTTTCAGAAAGCTCAGACGTATATGCTCTGGGGTTGTACAGTACTAGAGCTGCTGTACTCTAGTCTACCGTCTACATGTACAAGACAGATTTGTATAATTGCGTTGTAGGGAGCTCAAGTAGATACGTACCTACCTACCACGGTTCAGCCCATGGGCCATGGAGACGGTAGAGGCCAATAGTAAATCCAAGCAGAGCTGACAGATTCCTCCTCTTGGTTCAAAAGCGAGTAAAACGACCGGCTCTGGAGCTGGAACGTGAAGCAGTAAACAACAAGGCAAACTACACAGGTAGCCTGGGACTGGGAGCCCGCATACAGGAACAATCCCGTCGTCTCCGTCGATCATGTGCTCGGGGCGCAGGAAGCCATTATCGTGCGCGCCCCACCTCAAAAGAGAAGAGAGAGGCGAAGAGGTAGACAGATGACAGCCAAAAACTCCTCAGGTGGTTATTTCCGAACAGGGGGAATAGTAACTAACCAGCTGCAGAACAATGGTGAGGCACATGATGGCAAGCAAGATCAGCTGCTCAGCTCAAGCTCGGGGCAGGCAGCTCCTCAGAGTGTGCTCATTAGCTTTTGATTATGCTGAGTGATGCCATCCTCCCTCGTGTCCCTGAGCTCCCCAATCATTGATGCCTCGGGTCCTCTGCTCTTCTTCTTCAGATTGATTGAAGGCCCCGATCTGGTGTTCCAAATATGTCATTGCATAATGGGCAGCCATACTTCAAGGTGTTGCATTTCAGTGTTTCAGATAAGAAGGCTTACATGCAGATGCAGATGCAGATTGTAGAAGGAATCCCAAACAGCTCAGGTACAGCTGGATCACTTTAAGTTTTTCTTGGTCAATTGCATCCAGGAGCTTGTCAGAGGGCAGGACACAAACTGTCATACCGATCATCTGGCATCCTGCAGGAGATGCAAGTTGCCATTAAATAACTCCCAGGTGATGTCTTTTCTCATAGGAAATAATAAGAAGCCAGATCTCCGAAGATACAGCAAGAACCCAACATGATGAGTCAGGGCGAAATGATCACAAGAAACTTTCAGGAAGACAACCAAACTAAATTTAGGAGTGTAAACATGAATCTGGTACATGATTAGCCGTTGTTACAGACACCTTTGAACAGGAAAGATCTACAGCTTCAAGCACTTCTTAGTACAGGAAAATGATAGTACTAGCACTCAGCAAAGAAACGGTTGCATTTGTTTCTCAGAGGACGTATGTGGAGTGAAATGGAGATGACATACTTGGCTTCCTCATTGACTTCCTCCATTCTCTGGCTCATCAGCATCAGCACCTGTTGCTTCGCCTTACGGGTCTTCCTCTGGCTGCCCTTGTCAACAGAATTAGACTCCAAAACTGATTCAGAATCGGATGACGATGACAATGTGCTGTCCCTTCTGTGCCTTCTCTTCTTCTGCTTCCCTTTGGGTCGCCGCTTCTTGTTCTATGAATTCGAAGAACTGACACTTTCAGAAGAATATCCAGAGCCGGTAGCTGATGATTCAGTGTCCGAGTCGAACAGAGTCCTCACTGTTATGCCGATCTGAACCATTATGTGAGCGGGTTTTTTCTCTTACTTTTCCCCTCCCTTCTTGTAGATTTTTCCTTCTCCATCTTTTCTTTCATCAGCTTCTTCTCCTCCTCCCTCTCCTTTTCAAGATCAAGATTCACAAATTGATAGGACTCTAACACAGTCGACTACATCAACTTGGGGTTTTCAAGCTGCTGCGTTCTTTAAGTCCGTAATATGTAGGCACAGTCGTTCTTGCACTCATATCTCTAGTACCCAGGCTGGAAACACCTCTGAAATTGGGAATATGCATCACCAGAAGAAGTTGGTGAAGCTTTTGGTTTCACATGGTACTGCAGCCTACTCCATACTCGCCAGATAAATCTGTCTCTTGGCTTCATTCTTCTCTTGTCAGCGGCTTGGCTCCTCTTCCTTCTACCCATAGGCATTCACATTGCGGGCAGCAGCCGCAGCTGCACGTTCAGCTTGAACCCTGCTCAATCCCTTTGCAGCTGATAAGGCCTGTGCCTTTATTTGCTCAGCTGCAAGCTGAGATTTGTCAGCATTGCCAGACATCTTGATCCGTCCAAATGATCAAAATTAATAACCACAGCTAAATACCTGTGCATCGCTTCGGAATAACAAACCATTCCACACTATGAACATACACATCAAATTTGACGATGTGTAATTTCCAACTGCATCATGATGAATGTTGGTGTTCTTCCTCCTACTATCTCTTTGTCAGCAACCAGCAAACGACCCTCTGGCCTCCCGCTATCTTCCTTGGTTTCTTGCCTTGCCTATCCTTCTACCCATCCACCCAGTGTGTCTAGTCTTCTCCAAGTATTAAGCCGTTGCCGAAAGTGAATGTTGGCGGTTGTCTTCTGTGTCAAAATCCAGTCAGTTTCACCTCAACCTTTGACTGTTGTGATCCTTTGCTACACTCATCCCAGTTCGGGCAGATGTGGCTTTCAGGTAGTTATAAGGATCTGAAATGGCCACCAATACACAAATTTGCAGTTTCGAACAGATATTCACATAGTCCTGAACGTCGAGGATTGGACATGAAAAATCATTTGGATCACAAAATTTAAATATCGTAAACAATGAGCTCTTATTGGATTACCTAGTCTTCTTTGCAGAAAGATAAAACTTCGCTGGAACAGCAAAAGCTGGATGAGGTTGGCCAAAATAGCTTCTGCCCCCATCACCTGCACAGTTATAAGAAGAGAAAATTTTGTTTTTGCCACTCTAGATTTTGCCAATTTTCCTTATGCCACTCTAGATTTTGACATTTCACTTTTGCCACTCTTAGTTTTTGATAATTATCACAATTGTCATTCAGTGGCAAAAGCAAAATAATTTTGTTTTGTTTTTGCTACTCTTACCTTTTGACAATTATCACAAATGCCACTCTGAAAATTTTGCTTTTGCCACGGGAATGACAATTGTGATAATTGTCAAAAACTAAGAGTGGCAGAAGTGAAATGTCAAAATCTAGAGTGGCATAAGGAAAATTGGCAAAATCTAGAGTGGCAAAAGCAAAATTTTCCATAAGAGGAACACTTCATTAAAACTGAAAACATGCTAAGCTGGTTGATACTATACTAATGAAATGAAGCACAGGCAGCACATGTCTTCCAGCAAAACTAAGGCGATCATTTTTACCGAACATGGAGCAGGCATTCAACAAGCAGGTGCAGGAAGTAGACACAGACATTTGCACGATCATTGTCATTGTATCAGTATCATTAGACCATCCATAATTGATTTTTCCCTAGCAGCACATTATGACATCATGCCACAGCATTGCCGGCTTTCTCCCGCACCACAACAGATGTTCTCACCTCACTTCATCCGCCACAGCCAGGCATCCAATGTATCACCAACTGCCCTTTAACAGTTAAGCCGCATAGGCATGCTCTTTCATCTTTAAAGGACAATTTCTCAACAAAAAAAGGTTGGAAAATGGTCAGATTCTAAACCATGCCAATGACAACATTATCTTAATCACATTAGGATTCGCAATTTAGCTTTTGAAAAGGCACAAAGAGAACAAAACATGAATTGCCATGTTTCTTCCATACTCATAAAAAAGTGAACGACGCTCACAAATCTCTCTTTTTTTGTGATTAGAGCTGATGAGTTAAATATAATGCATGATGAGCCAGCTAGAAAACTGTGTGCAGAACACTGGACGTAAATACATAACAGGAATAGCATCCCAAACCAAGAAATCAACACTGTTTTTCTCATATACACTCAACAAGACGCTAATTGACAAGCCCGTCGCAATCTGCTAAAAACGCACACAAGATGGAAGGAAAAACTTCCAACAGAGAAATTGTTCGATGCTCAAGAAGTTTTCAGTCTCTCTAAAGGATTGCGGAGAAGAGGATCTGGTTGGTGTCTTCATTCTCCCCATCCGGACCCCCTGCAAGTGAAACCACGACCAGTTGGAGTGAGTTCCCCGTCACAAAATCCAACGAACTGCTGCAAAGCAAAGAAAACCTACCTGCCATTGGCTTCAGCTGATCAGTCCACTCGTCGATCACCTGCAACGTAAACAAAGAGAACAGACTCATCAGATCTCTCACGACCTGTAGCTAGATTGCGGGTTTTTTGGGTGGGGGGTCACCTGCTTGAGGCTGGCGCAGGCGGCCTCCTCGTCGTCGGTCATGAGGGGCAGCCCGGAGGAGGCGAGAAGCCGTTGCGTGGCGCTCCGCTGCGCAGCCAGGCTCGTGCGCATCATGTCGATCAGCTCCTGCACACGCGCGCAGGATCACGGGATCAGTAAACCTAGAAGAAGGTGTGGAGGATTCGAGAAGGGGATCTGACTGACCTGCTTCTGGGCGAGGAGGTCGCGGCAGAGATCCTTGAGCGCAGCCACCTCCTCTTGCACCCGCTTCACTCGCCCTACCAGTTTCGCCGGGTTTGCCTGAATGAAACCGTCAGCCAGATCCTGTTATGGAAGGAAGCGGCTAGAGAGGAGAAGAAGGGGAGTTTGATTACTAACGTGGTCAGGGTAGGAGGCACGGAACTCGAGGTCAAGGCGGCGCTGGACGTCGGCGAGGGTGTTGCTGGCGCCGACGAGCGTCAGGTACACGTCGTTCACAGCCGGGTGGCGCCGATCAGCAGCCATGATTTGTTTGGGTCAATGGAAGTGAAGGCAGGGATCTCTTCTTCCAGCCACTGCTAGCGCTTGGCTTTTAAAATGGGGATGGAAGGGATCCCACTATCCTGCAAGGAAAACCTAAGCTATATTAGTTAGTAATGACACAATTATATCATTTCATCTTTAGTTAGAAAAATGAATGAAGTTCGGGCGTTATGATTCTACTGTACCAGAACATAAGGAAATCCCAAGATAGTATTTAGTCGTTGCTAGGTCAAAAATACATTTCTAGCACTACGAAATTGTATATTAGACAGTATCAGGGAATCACAAATAGTACTGATTATAGTAAGCAAATCCAATACCAAAGGTAAGATTTCACAGATGAGCTTTCGCATATATGAACTGAAGAACTATAGCAGAAATTGCTTTTCTTGCAACTGTATGATGTAATGAATATCATAGTTAAACGAACACATTACATTGCATTAAAACCTAAGGTTGATTGTTAAGCTAAAGCAACACAGCAGCACCTTAGAAGAATTCACTAGCTATCCAAAGGCATTTAATTTGTACCAAATGCATAGCTTCCACAGTGCCCTTTTATGAAGAGAACCTGTAGTAGAGCACCCCAGTTGCATCGCACTAATAATCATCAGCCACAAACCAACAATAAAGTTCCTAGAGGAACCACCGATTGAAAATGTTGGCCAGAATCCAGCCGAGTATCCAAGTCAATTCTATATAGACTGTAAACCAATGATTTGCACAACACAAAAAATACAACAAAGCCACGGCTTGATACAGCAAACAAGAGAAAAGTGGCAAGCAAAGTCACTGAATAATCCAGCAATTGGTAGCTAGATCTGCATGGCTTAAGAGTGGACATTCTGAATTTGGCAATTAGCAGATATCTTATGGAGTTATGAATTTCAAACCAGATGCTCCACTACATCCATTCCTTGTAGATACAACCTATAACTCGATACATATCAGACACTCACTTAGATCTGTCGCCGTACCCAAAAAATGGGACAAAATGACCACCCAAGCTCGGCTGGAATTAATCCACAGAACTAGTTACTTGTATCCCTGAACCAAAACATAACTGTCCAAAGGAATACGCTAATATCGACCACAAACTTCTTACACGAGCCAAACAAACGCGATTAGAAACCTAAACCTGTACAAATCACTTCTCACGGTCACAGGTGCGACTGTTTGAGCATACGTGCATCTGCGGATGGGGCAACCAGTAGCCACCCCGCTCCGACCCCCACCCCCCACCGAATCATCGGCCCGTCTAGCGCGAGACAGCTCCAACTCGGGCCACCGCAAGCCGGTGAATCCCTCGATTCCGTAGCCTAGCTAGGGTTTTCCGGCGAATCCAATTGGAACGGAACTAAGACGAGAATGCAGAGGAGGGGGAGAGGAGGAGGAGGAAGCTCGCTTACCGATGGGGGCGGAGCGGATCCCAGGAGATCCCCGGGGAGAACGTCTTGGTTTAGCCGGGGACTCGGCGGGCGGGAGGAGGGAATTCGCGGCTCTCCGGGGTGCCGTTTGCCTGTGGCGGCTCACAGTGCGCCGCAGAACGAGCACTCGTTTTGAATGGGGGAGAAACACCCAGACAGAAACAAAATATGTTTATAGTCTTTCCGATTTTTCTGAAATATATACTCCTTCCTTCTGTACACTAATACTCCCTCCGTGCCTAAATTAAGTCTTTTTACTCCATTCCTAAATTAAGTCTTTTTAAACATTTCTGTGGTTGGATGGTTAGAAGGACTGTGGTATCCCAGCCCACCAGGATTCAAATCTTAGTGCTCGCATTTATTTCAGGATTTCCAGCGATGCGCATTCAGTGGAAGGAGATGTTCCCGTCAACGACAAGGTGCCTATGATGACTTCATAAATTTCAAGATGATATGCCGGTTCAGTCTTTCAGAGGTGCTCATAAGGGTAGGGTGTGCGTGTGTGTATTCATAAAGGTGAGTATATACGCGTGTATATGAGCGCGTTTGTGCTGTGTTCAAAAAAATGAACTACAACATATCGATGTATGTAGACATATTTTAGAGTGTAGATTCACTCATTTTGCTTCGTATGTAGTCATTTGTTGGAATCTCTAGAAAGACTTATATTTGAAATGAAGGGAGTACTTATAAAACTTTTTGCTGTTCAATTTCTAAGCCATTTTTTTCAGGGGTGAAGGAGTTTTTATTCCAGATTTATAGAGTTATAGTGCACTGGCAACAATTCCTCAATGCATGAGGGTCCTTGGTGTAAGAGCATCTATAGCCACATCGGATCAGCCTCACTTTCCTCTTCCTCCTCCTCCTCCTCCTCCTCCTCTGAAGAGTCCGGAGGTAGGCCGGACGCAATTTGAGCGGCGCGCCTGGCTCGGATCTCCTCTAGGAGCTCCAACCCCCGCTCCAGAGTGAGCATGACGTACATGGTGATCCGTTGTCGGGCCATAACTACCGGCGGGCGACCAGCTCGAGCGGATTGGACGGTGACAGCGTGGATGAGAGGGAGGATGGAAATGAAACTGGATAGGGTTGCGGTTCCGCCATCCGGCTTAAATAGCTAGATTTGGAGTCTTGGGTGGCGCATCGGAGCGGCGGCATGAATGCATCCTCACCGACTGTTGTGTTTAGACATGTGTCTGTGTGGGTCCTGCTCGTCAGTCCGACCTGGCGGATACGACCGAGGGCGACCGGGTCTTCTCATATTCGTTGTAGATATGGGCTGGATATGAGGATTGCCGGTCAGCTCGAGCATATAGAGACGGTATTTGGAGCCCGGTTGGGTTGCAATTTTGTGACTGCTCTCTGACTGGGTCGTCCACCCAGATATATAGGGGTCGTTTGAGGAGCCTCGTTGTAGATGCTCTAACCACACAGCGGTGGTAATACACTTAGTACGACTATAGTTTGCCAGATGATTGAACACTCTATTTTGTTTTCTCCTAATCCTTTGTGGAATAAACTTCATGTCAACCATCAACGATCTGATCTCCGCGGTAAGATGCCCATATGCCAACCAAGCCAATCCATCGCCTGATATGGATAGAGTCTTCTGAAGAATCCGATTGGACAATGACTGAAACGCATGTACGTTGGATTTGAAGTAAGAGTCATCCCTTGCATCAACGCATGTATCTCCGCTTCTAAGGCATCATTGCAATTGAACATAAAAGTGATAAGCCACAAATAGCGTCGTCCCATCCTGACTCCTAAAGATCATACATGTCGTAGTTGTACTATCCGGCACTGAAAAGGAGCCATCAACTGAAAGAGCAGCCTTACCCGCCGGTGGGGAGGCCACGGAACGTTGGGTGCATGGTCTTTCACCATCGGTGCAACCCAATCAAGACATGTAGGCATTTTCCCCTTTAAAATATATTTCGTGCTATATTGTCGCAAAAGACGACCGATCAACATCGCCGCCCATGTGACGCAAGGTCAATGCAATCGATGTGGTCGAACTCTCAAGGTTGCCGCCTCGACCTCCATTGCTCTGTTGCGCCATGCATAGTCCACCAACACACCACCTTTTGGTATCGTCCCGACATATAATCGCTCACCCTCAAGCTGCAACACCGCACGACCTAGTCACCCACAACCCAAGTTGAATAGGGCAACCACCCGCATACCACGACCGTCACACAAACTCTTCTGGGGCCGCCGTCCCGACATAAAGTCAAATTGCCCCCTTTGGAGTGCAACGACCGAGCCGACAACCCCGCCTCACTAGTAGAACAAAATTGACACCCCCACCAATGCAAACCACCACCCTACCTAATAGGGTTGTCGTCACATTACTTTCCGAGGTCGCCACCTCGGCGCACAACCACCATCCAGGGCCGCTTCCCCGACATCCACATGCCTCGACGCAAGAGAGGCATCGGGCCACAACCAAGAGCTAGCTCTTCATGGCGACACCCCCAAGAGAGAAACAACGTAGGCATCGTTGTTGCCCGCTTGAGAAAGACTGGAACTTGGGTTTTCAATCAAAGAGCCCAAGCCATTTGTGAACGTGAGGAGGCAAGCACTGGCGGAGCTACGGCAAGGCCGAAGTGGCCGTGGCCCGCCCAGGATCTCTGTGATTTTTCGTTCATATACTATGCATCGGTAGGTAGCCCATGAGCCTGGTCTACTATCGGACACTGCCTAGGCCCCTAATCCCTTCTAAGCTCGATTTAGTGGGAGATTCGCACAACCCAGCCATAGAGAAGTACTAATTAACTACTGGCTCCAAGGAGCAGCCGAGCAACAGCGGCATCCCTAAAGCAAAAAACAAAAAAGCACCAGCGGCCGCTTTGTTTACCGGCTGTATATATCTGCTGATCTAGTTAAAAAATTGCTGAGGACTGACTTACGTCTAATGAAATAGCACGATTCATTATATTTTTTCAAAAATGTGCACTTGTTTGTCTGGCCCGCCCAACTATTTTTGTGTAGCTCCGCCACTGGAGGCAAGGTTCCACGATGGTGCCTCTAAGAAGGGGAACAACGCCTAAAGGCACCACTACCGACTCAAGGTCTGAGCATGGCTTTCACCCGGGATTCCTCCTCTCCAAAAGAGCTTGCATATATCGGAACTGCCTCCAAGAAGGGGAATAACGCCCAAAGGCGCTGCCCCAGACTCATGGTTAGGGCATGACTTTCACCTGGAACCCTTCGTATCCCATGAGAAGAGCTTACATATATGGGAACTGGATAGAATGCCCCTCATGACCCTGGAGCCGATGGAAGAAGGGTAAACTAAAGTTGTTGCCCGAATGTTGCCATCTAAGGACATCTCCAACGCTGACCCTCAAACCGGACACCGCATCCGTCTGCGCACAGGGGGATTAGTCCGTGAACAGGAATGCGGGAGCCGGCCATTCAAAGCTAGCCGCATACATCCACCCCAATGTTTTTTTTCAGACCACACACTCTAAATAACCGCACATCTAGTTTCAGGTTAGCTAAAAAATGTTCAACTTTTTATATGCAGCAGTATGCAAGCATTCGCAATGCGGC